TCGATATTATACAAATTACCTGCATATACTTTCCCTACTGGCAGTCACACCGGGAGAGTTCTCCCTCACCCCCCCTTTCCCCCCTCAAACAAGGTAGAATAATTTCTAAACTGTCATTTCAAAGTATTTTCGAGCCTAAACTAATTACTGATTTTCCCCTGAGTTTACCTGCTCATGAGTGGCTTACAGATTCCTTATGCATAACTGTATATACACAGTAAAACCTTAAAAAATAAATTAGCTTTTAATTGTATGAAGCTGTAAGCAGATAAACCTGACAACAAAGGACCTCCTACATAACTTCCATCCACCATGACTCAGAGATGGAGAAAACCCTAATACAACACTTTCTATTGCAAGACAAATGGATTAGCTGTGAACAACGCAAAATAGAACAATTTACTCTCCCCCCTTTTCAGGGTTAAATTGCATAAAGAACAAATAGTCGTCTCACAAAAAAAATAAATAAATAAAAAATCAAAGCTAATCAAAGCTGCTCTGTAACACAGAGTCTGAGGCACTAAAGGATTTTCACAGACATTTTATAAAGGCGATTTTCACAGGGAGTGATTACACTTCTATACCACTTCTTCAGAGGCTGCTTCCGCCACCCCAGGAAAACCTGCCAAGGTTTTTGCTTTGAAGAATTCAACACAAAACTACAGCACCAAGTTTAAGATTACTACTTGGAAAATTGTAATGAGAGTTTGCTTCTGATCAAAAATGTATGCTCCTAAGCACATATAAATACAAAAATACAATGCAATAGTTAACTTCGACCTAAATTTCAGTAAGAAAATCCAATTATTACGGTTTAGCAATTTGCAGAATAGCACTTGCAACCTCACTCATCCAGAAAAGATTGAAGATGAATTTCTTCCCTTGCCAGAGAAAATACTGAGAAATAAAATTAAACATTTCTATGTTGAATTAAATTGAGTGAATCAATAGCTATTTCAAATTAGACTTGGCACTGATTAAAATCTTCAAGTTGCCCATTACCAACTCAGGTAATCAGAGGACATTCCTTGGTAGATAACACTAGATGCAACAGGATGCAAGTTAGACTGTTAGTGTGACAGGGGCATTAAGACTCGGACATAGTGCTCCGTTACAGCACATGGGAGGGGGGTTTGTGGTCTCCTGATGAGACACCTCATTCCTTCACAGTGACTCCCTGGAGGTCAGGACTTTCCATTAGGTCTATTCCTAAACCTTCCTATTTGGAAGAAGAACCTGACAAGAGACAAACACCTTATTTCACAAAGCTGTAAAGGTAATTTCTCATTAGCCAGCAACCAACACAACTTTCCTTGTCTTCCTGCAACTGAAAATGAAACTATTTTTAAGAAATCTTTTTTCTTTTTGGAAAAAGATCTCCATCTTACAAACACAAGTACTGTGGTTGCAGTGTAGCTTGTGATTATACTGTGGCTGCAGTGTAAACCCAGAATTAGCTCACAGTCATAAAACTTAATCAGAAGCAGAGTCATAAAATATTCCAGGGTTTTTGTTCATCTGCTAGTGTGAGGAAAAAAAAAACCAAAACATTCCCTCGGGTATTTTTTCCACTGAAATATGTGTTTATTATGTAGACCCTTATGACACCTACCCTCCCTTCATTCACCACAGCACTGCTTTGATCATTTGGAGGCACAACAGCAGCAACAATCCCAAACAGTGAGAGCCCTGCTACTATCTGCCACTGGGGGATAGAGTACCATGCTCTAGAGGACAGCAAGAAGGACTGACAAGCATCTTTGATCTTCACTCCAAGTTTGCACACTGAAGACTAACTCCCAGAAGTACATGCAAACTGCTGTGCAGGCAGCAGCAGCCTTAGCAAGGCAAGTGAAACCTGCACACCCACAACAGGAAAATGGGAGAAAATCGCCTGCATGAGGAAAAAAGGCAGTGAGGAACAAAGAGTGAGAAGGAATGAAGGCAGCCAGAAAAGGAACAAAATGGGAATGGATTGATTCACACACACATACATATAACTTTATATATATAAGTATATAAGTGTATATATTTTATACAGATTACATAATATATATAAAAATGCATAATGCATACTCTCTATATATGAAATACACATATACAACCCGTAACAGTGAAAAAGCTACCTTGACAGTGTACTACATCCCTTTCACAGCATGCTCCCCACTGGCTTTGCCAGTAACTGTACTGTAGCATAACTGAAGAGTCAATGAGTAGAATGAGAAATTGCGCCAAGACTCGTCTTTTTCTTGGGCTGTTTGTTTCTCATCAGATTATTTGTAGGCATTCATTTGCAAAAAGGACATCATAACAGAAATCTAAATAATTCTCACAGAGATATAAAGGTAGCAGGGAATCTCAACAGGAGATGATATTTTGCATTTAGGGTCAAACCACAGCTGCAATTCACAAAACCTTCTAAACATGCGAATAATGGGAAAGCTGAGGTTTTATTTTCATTGAAGACATATAATTTTCTGCTTTAAGCCTACACTTAACACCACTGGGAGCAAGAAGAAATCATGGAAAAAAACGCATTCAGCCGCTTTTCCAGTATCTCAGTATCAAACCAACCAATGCCTGGGAGTTGCTGCATTCACCAGGGTCCCCTGGTGCAAGACAAAGAGGAGAAACTGTGCTCAGGACTGCTGCCAGTGGATGCGAGCCCTGCACAGCCCTGATGCACAGGAACCCTTTCAGCTTGCACCAGCTGGAATGGAGACTGCAACTTAGCAGCATGGCAAACACACAAGAGAGATGCAAAAACATCACTTACACGCAGCAAAATGTTGACATGAGATAGGTACCACAAAAAGGTCAAGTCATGTCAGAAGTTAATTAGTCCTGTATAAATGCCCTTCATTCCTTTAATCCCCCAGCACGATTACAGAAATGCAGCTTAGCTCTTTCCCAGGTTTTGCACAATCTGCCAACATCTGGGTAGCAACACGGAGCTCCTCGGGGCTGATCCTGATCTTTAAGGTCCCTTCCAACCCTGCCATTCTATGTTGATTCTATGATGACTCTGTCCTTTCAGTAAAGTATACAATATATTCCTTTTCATCTAGAAAACAGATGCAGACAGATTTCTCTCTGTATTAAATGGCTCATCTCCCTCAGACTGATCAGAACTGCCCATGAAGTTGATCATCTCACTGGTTCCTTCAGTACGCACTGTGTTTCCAAGAGCTCCTTTCCAATAGAGGAAAGGAGGATCCTATCCAGAATGGACTGAATTACAAATGATCACATTGTGGGGAAGCATCACCTCTGCTGCTTGTGAACAGGGTTTGTTGGTAAAGTAGTGCCTCTGCTTCTTTTATTTGCAGGCATTTACAAATAAATTCCAGCAAACAAAGTATTTGATTTTCAATTTCATGGAAACCTGAAGAGTTTGATTTTAAACAAAGCATAAGCAGTAAAATTTCCGGTAAGTGACAATTCAGGTTAAAAAGCAAAAGTAATGGGAGATTTTAGAAGACCTGACCACTTGTGTATATTCAGCTATGCTTATATTTCTCTGAATTTTTATTTGTCATAAGCTACAGTAGCTATAAATCAGACCGTTTATGCAGGTGAAGGAGAACAGGAAAAAAAAATGAACTGGAAAAAAGATAAATTTCAATCAGCATCAGGTTTCTATAAAAATTAAGTGGGAGAAAAAAATCTCACCTCTAAAAATTTACTTCCAAAAAGTTTAGATAATCCTCCATGCAAAAATTTCAGGTTAAATAAAACTGCTTGAGAGCCGACTCCATCAGGTAGCTTAACACTGCTCCTGAGAGACAGGAGGAAATTCTCTGGCTGAAAACAACGTATATGACAGAGCTAGGCTTTCTGTTTTTTTAAAGTATGACTTGGAACAGGGTAATTGACAGCCATTGGAATCCCCATTTTAATGGAAATAAACACGTTTACTTGGACTTTCACATTACATACTAGTGCAAACACAAGCCCACTGCTGTGACTGCAAAAACTGATCTGTAAATTCCATTACGAATAATTCAGTGGACTTAGTGAAACACCCCCTCCCCCCTCTCCAGCCCCAAGCTATTCCACAGTCTCCCACAAACACCAGCCTTCACTCAAAAAATAATAAAAGTTACTAGACTTAAAACCAACACCCTCTCCCCATAGAAAACCCCAACCACAACCCCCCCTTCAGCATTTATATTGCTGCAAAACGTTTTGAAAGATGTTCTATAAAATTCTGATTATTCCAGAAACGTCTATTGATAAAGCTAGAAGAAAACAACATCCTGCAGGTACTTTTTGTATTAGTAGCATTTTCTCTTTATCAGCAGTAAATGCCCATTTTTAAAAGCTGACAGCACAGTTGTGAACATTTATAAACTAGACATTTATGTTTATATCTTTTTAAAACCTTAGAAAGAAAAGTTTTCCCTGAAGAAAAAAATATTTAAATTATTCCAGGTGATAGGCCACAGCAGAGGGAATTTTGATTTGTGGTGCAATGCAAACCATTCGCTCTAGTTGACAATTCTTTAGCTGTTCACAAAATAAACTGCACAGGATAATAACACTTATGATGCAGGAACTTTTTCCCTAAGAAAACTTGCATTAGAAGCCAAATCTAGAAGCAGTCAAACCTATTGCATTCTTCAATAGGTTCCTTAGATGCATAGAATCCTAGAATTGTCTAGGGGGGAAGGGAACATAAAGACTACAGGGTTCCATGCCCCCTGCCACAGGTAGGGACACCTTCTACTAGACCAAGTTGCTCAAAGTCCTGTCCAACCCAGCCTTGAATAGGCCTTGGGATGGGGCAGCCACAGCTTCTCTGGGCAACCTGTGCCAGTGCCTCACCACCCTCACAGAGAAGAGCTGCTTCTTTAATCTAAATCTCACCTCTTTTTGCTTAGGCAACCACTGCTAATAACAGCCATTAATTAACCTCAAGACAACTTTTGTGCCTTGGAAGAAGGCTGGAGGTGGGCTCAGCAGATAGCACCAAGACATGCCGTCCCCCAGGGACTCACCCGTCCAGTCTCACATCAGGCAAACTCCGGTTCAGAGCAATCAAGTCACTGGCCATAAGGTTAAACTGATTGATTTTAAACAACTCTTTCATCTTCTCCTGGTCATCCTTTGGAATGAGCACAGCCTTTCCCATCTCTCCAGGTCCTTCTTGGTTTCGAGAAATAACAGCTATAACACAAAATAGCAAAAGCCAACTTTTAGAATGTGGACATCAGTCCAAACAAAGAAACAAACAAACAGAAAAAAAAACCAACCCAAAAACAACCCACAATTTTCTCTATGCTTCACGAGAGGTTTTATCTCTATCTGGACTTAAATTTATATCCAGTTCTTTTCTAAGATGATTAAATCCCCCAGATTTGTTCCCTTGCTGCTTTTGGTTGTAATCTCGATGACTGTTCTTGTGAGATTTACATCAGGATTACAGAGCACAGCACTAGATTCTCCGTGAGATTCTGCAGGTAGAAAAGGTTTGGCAAACACTTTTATGGCTATGGAAAATCTTTGAAGAACATGTATATTAGACTAATTCTAACCAAGTTGTTTTATTTTTTATTTAGGTTTAACTACCAGGCACGTGACAGCACAACCCCATTCCTGTAAGTAAATAAATCAACTAATCTTCAGTGACAAAAAAAAAAAATCCATCCTGAAAAATACAGCACCCACATCCTAACTATCTTTTACATATTATTAAGGACTAGTTTGGAAAAATATTTGTACAGTCGATTTGAAACTTTAAGGAAAATTATGGTATCATCTCATATAAGCCCACAAAAATGAGCAAGGTGCAGACTGCCTTTCTAGGAAACAGCCTATGAAAAGAAAGGAAACATCCCTCGTACAAATAATTATAATTGTTCTAAAGCAAAAGCTGTAGGCAAAGAAAGACAGAATCATCATGTTTCCTTCTCCCACCTCATCATGCAGCTTCCCCCCAACTACTTACTACCAAGATGCTTTTTCAAACAACAAGAAATATCTGAATTTTTAAATAATTTTACATTCACACTTTCAATCAGCCTCTTAACTGAGGCTGATTAATGAACATTGATTAATTAGTCTTCACTGATGACTGGTGCTTGCTGCTCTCATGAATAAACTGAACTGAGCTCTCCTGTGTCTGCAGCCTGGCAGAGGGTGGCTCGCAAGCCCGGACTGTGCTGGGCTGTAACCGATGCTCACGGTGACCTTCAAGCAGTGCACTTCTGCACCATATGCCAACACTAGCATATTATCTTAATGGAGGGATCTTGGTTTTATTTTTCTGCCATCACATTAATTTTTCATCTTTAGTCTCAAAATTACTCTGAGAAATTTGATGCTCAATATCCTGAAACACTGTTACTTATGAAGGCTTCTCCCTAGCTGAAGAATAATCATTTTTACAATAACAACAACAAAAAAAAACCCTAAGAGGATAAAGCCTTTTCTAAAGAATGCACAGGTAAGTGACTTTCTAAGGAAGAATTTGTTCCTTTTCCAACACATCATACATCAGGCCTTGCTAGAACCTAGCAGAAACTTATGTAAAAGGCTTTTAAAAAGTAAATATTACAGACTCCAGACACAGAAATTTTATTTCTGCAGTTCTAGATTATGCTTCAGTTGAGCAAAGAACGTTTCACAGTATTACCTGATATATTTTTTTATCCTTCTCTTTGATCAGAAGTAGCACCTTTGTATGCTGCCACAGAAAGAAATTAGCTGTGATTACACAAGAAGATGAAGCTGTGATCAGACGGACACATAAACCTTAAATGTGGTGACTCTGAAGCCCTCTGTACCCAGTGTGATTTCCAAAGGACAATAATCTCAGGGGTTGAAGTCCACTGGGGTCTGCGGCAGCCACCCAGGAGCTAAACAGGCTGTGACATGGACACCAAATGCATGCTCTTGATGCCCTCAGATACATTTTTCCACACTGGGGTCAATCCCAAGCACAAATAGAGGCTGGGTGAAGACTGGAGTAAAAGCCACGCTGAGGAGAATAACTTGGGGGTAGAAGTTGAGGAGACCCAGCCGTGTGCACTTGCATCCCAGAAAGCCAACCATGTCCTGGGCTGCATCAGCGGCAGCATGACCAACAGGTTAAAAGAGGGGATTATACCCTTCTACTCTGCTCTCATGAGACCCCACCAGCAGTACTGCATCCCGGTATGGGGCCCGCAATGTAAGAAGGACATGGATGTGTTGGAGCGAGTCCAGAGGAGGCTACGGAGATGCTTCAAAGGCTGGATCACCTCTCGTTTGGAGACAGGCTGAGAGAGCTGGGCTTGTGCAGCCTGGAGAAGAGAAGGCTCCAGGGAGATCACAGAGCAGCTTCCAGTGCTTAAAGGGGCCAATAAGATATCTGAGGATATCTAACCCTAGTGTCTAGTGGAAGGTTTCCCAGCCTGTGGCAGGAGGGTTGGAACTAAGTGATATTTAAGGTCTCTTCTGACCCAAACCATTCAATGGTTCTATAACTCTATGTCTGAGCAGAGCCTGCTGATTCCTCTTCACCTGTCTCAGGGAAAGGAATTTGTGACTACATTGCTCTATATGACCCCTGATTGGCAGAATTTTCTCTTAGAGAATATATGTATCTCAGTCAAATGCCACCAGAAAGAAAGATCAAGAAGAATCTAGTCATGCTGTGTGTGCTTTCAACTGCTTCTTCACGCAGTGATGCGCCTTATCCACAGAACTGCTTGGGAACCTGTACTGCACTCATACACTGACAATTTTACATTATATACAGCATTAAATTCCCCTCAGAACATTTTATAAGGAATATTTATTTAACGTGTAATATGATCATAAAATATTTGGGATTAATGGTTGGTAATTAATCTCTGCTATATCATCACTTCCTGGAGAAACGATGAGACTCGTCAAAGGCTGCAAGTTGAAGAGCTGGTCCCTCAAGCTGCAAATGTTGTTTGTGGAAATAAATTCTGCCTCCTTTTTTTGCTGGAAGGGCACAAATTTATCTGAATGGTAGGTTGGAGCAGGCAAGAAGAGGCAGCCTGACTGCTGAAACCGTGGGAAAATGGGCAAGAGGAACAGAAACATAGCATAATAGGAAAGGAAGGAGTTTCTCAACATAGGGATGAATGTCTCCAAAGCAGAAAAAGTGCAATAAGAAGGTGAAGAAAGTTTGTCCTTGTCGTGTCCTTCAGGGTGATAAACTTTTGGAAGAGGAATTATTTGTTCTCTGCCTCTGAAGTTGCATTTAAGGGTCTGTAGTAGCTTCAAGGACTTCACAGACCCTACCCAGACGACCAGGATCACCTCCTTAGCACTGCACATGCAGCGTTTGCCTATCCGGGCAGGGAGCCATATGGATCATGTTCTGAGTGACCCATTGCAGCCCCTGAAGAGCAGAGCAGGGGACCCTGGGAGAGAGGACACATCATCTCCTGCCATGTGGCATGAAGGCTTGAGGAGCATCACAAGGCACCCAAAAGGTCTCTGATACAGCAGGGAAGCATGCCAAAGTATTTTTCTTTTCTGCTGAAATACTGTGGGATTGGATAAAAATACCTTTGTGACAATTTTCTCCTATAGTAACCAGAAAATTTTCATTAAAACAGATTATTTAGGGTGAGGGAAAAAAAAAAAAAGCAACCCATTATTAGCATAATCATTACAACAGTAAATTGCTGCTTCTCCTTGTCACAAGCCAAGTAACAGAACTGTATCTCCCTGAAATGTGTGGAATACCAGCAGTGGAGGGTTTTACATTCTAAGCCCAAATACTAGAAAGACAGCTGTCGAGACATTTTGTTTCAGTGTAAACTCTCTGTAAATTCATTAGGAATCCCAGCTCATTCACAACATAACTTCAGAGGGACTCAGTTTAAACTCAGCCTGAAACCTTGTTTATCCTGCTTGAAAGAATAAGTTACATTTTCCTTCATCTACAAAACTAATTTTCATTACAAGATTCTGTCATCTTCTATTGTTTGCTAAGGTCCATCAAGACAGAACTTCAAAGAGATTTTCCTGTCCTGAAGTTTATTATAAAACTAACCAGAAATTTCCTTAATAGCCTTTCTACCCTTACGGTTTTATTCAGAGCAAAATATTATCAGATTATATTTCAATCATAGCTTAAACATGTCTCTGACAGAGAAACATACTTAAAATGCAGCAACCTCAAATTATTAGATCTTTAGAGAAGACACACATGATTTATGAATTAACAATCACACACACACACTGACATTTTCAGAGATGTAACTCAAATCCATACACAGGACCTTCTTGCAATGTCTCTCCCACATCTGAGTAAACAACTTTTGAGCCTGGAGACTGTAAGAAACAGTGTTCAGTTGACTCATACCCGGGAGAGAAGAAGCATGAAGCAATCCACACATATTCAACTTAGGAAAAATAACACTTCCCATTTTCCAAGCAACACGTAATATATTAAAACGAGAACCAAGTAAACATCAAAATACTCTAGGCAGCAGGAATATTTAGCAAATTAAGACCTCTTGCTAATATTTGACAAAGCTTTTCATAGAAAAATGTGGTTTTGCTAGCACTGAATAGATCTGAGAATCTAAATATGGTGTCAAAAGTTTTCTAACACGAGGTATGTCACCAAGGTTGGCTTTCTAAATGCACAAATGCACTATAAATAGTTTTACCGAATGATCTGTTATGTATCCAAAGCACACAAAACAATTTTACTGGTTTTGGAAATACTGATACTGTCATTTCACCACTATGTTCTGCTTTACCCTCTTCCTCCGAGGTACAACGTACTTAACTAGTACAGCATACTTCAAATCAAACTCTTCAGAGTCTTTTATGAAATACCAAATTTGTATTCGAGCTTCCATACCAAAATATATATGCAAAACATACATACACCCACTTCTTCAATCAGAGAACATAAACATAGTACAAAATCTCTTCACCTAGAGGATAAAAAATAGGTTTCTTAAGTATTCAGAATGTATGTATGATAAAGAAGGTAACAATCAGTGAATGCTGCTGCTGATTATGAATTACTTCACTGGTATCAGTGTTCGTAAGCTACAAGCCCAAGCTACAAGTTCGTTGCAAGCACAGCAAGCAACTGCCTTACAGAGTACATCTTTGAAAATATCACTTAGAATTTATTGTCCAAAACACCTTCTATATGTGGATTTTACACATCTTTTCAACAGCAT